GAGAGGGGCTCTGCGGGCCCCAGCCAGCCCAAGAGCCCACTCCCTCTTCTGGCTGTCCCCGCACTGTTCATCTTCCCCCACGTCTTCTTTCTGGTCTTGCTCCCTACCCTCTCGCTCACCAGCTCCAGTACAAGGGTGCCTGGCCTCTTTACCCTTGCTCTAGGGGTTGTGCCCAGAGATGGGAGGAGCCAGGCCTCACCAGGGAGGGATCCGCGCAGGGTTGTCCAACTGCTTGAGGTTGAAGGCATGCTTAGACACCTGACGGACTTCTCCATCCCACGCCTGCACCTCCTGCTTGCGGGAGGCTGAATCAGCTGAGAGTAGGGCTTCCACCGCACTGGTCACCTAGGGGGAGCACAGAGTCAGCCAGGACCCAACCCCTGCCCACATGCCCTTTCCACCCTCGGTCTCCAGTTTGCTTAGTGCTGTCCAAGCCACGACCACAGCAGCCCCTCCAGTCCTAGAATCTCTGGATAGGGTGGTAAGATTTTCATACCCGATCTCTGACAATGTCGGGAAGCCCCCCCAACCCATCCCGGGCGATCTCCAGGTAATCTGGCAAAATGACAATCTTCACGTCCTCGTCATATTCAAACTTCTCCTCGGTGAGGTCAAACCCACCTTCAACACCTGGTTGTGACAGGGAAGAAGGAAGAAAGTAGGACAACTACCATTGGTCATTGGCTCTCCTCCAATGTGTCCCTCAGTTCTAAGGCCACTGGTCAGGCTCAGGTTCTCCTAGCAGGTAGCTCACCGATTGCCAGCCGGGTGGGCTTCTTCCGAGGTGGGTCCCCAGTGCCTGCACTAGTGTCCTCTTCTTTCTGCAATGAAAAGGGTCAGAAGGCCGGGTCTGATGGCGCCTGACCTTGTCCTCGCATTCAGGAGGCAGAGGAAGGATCGCTAGGAGCTCAGGCTAGCTGAGGCTACAAAGTAAAACCCTGTCTCAAAAAGACAAAAACCAAAACGAAACAAAGAAAAAAGGAGGGTCAGGAGCAGCCCTGAGCCCCAGGGTCAGAACAAATGAGGAAGATGGAGGAAAAGAATGGTTAACTGTACGATGGAATGAAGATCAAGACACAACTGTGGCAAGTCTCAGTGACAAATGAGAGCAGGTGAAAGAAAAGCCAAGGACACCAGGGCAGTCGGAGGTGTGCTGGAGTATCAGCTGAGGAAATGCCTCCGTAAGATTGGGCTGCAGGCAAGCCGAGATAGAGGGCAGCAGTTTTCAACCTGTGGGCTACAACCCCTTTGGTGATGGTAGGGGTCAAACGGCCCTTCACAGGGGTGGCATAGCAGGTCTCCTTCATATCAGATATTTACATTATGACTCATAACAGTAGCAAAACTACAGTCATGAAGTAGCAACGAAAATGATTTTATGGTTGGGGGTCACCGCAGCAGGAGGAACTGTATTAACGGGTCACAGCATTAGGAAGGTTGAGAACCACTGCTGTAAGGGAATTTTCTTAATTAATGATTGACATGGGAGGGTCCAGCCAACCCATTGTGGGTGCCAACCCTAGGCTGGTAGCCCTGGGTTCTAAAAGAAAGCAGATTGAGCCAGTCGGTAGGCAGCTCCCCTCCATGGCCTCTGCATCATGTCCTGCCTCCAGGTTCCTCCCCTGCTTGAGACTTCCTTCATCGAAGGACTACAGTGTGGAAGAGTATACCAAATAGAGTGTAAGCCTTTCCTCTCCAGTTCGCTTTTGGTCGTAGTGTCTCATCACAGCAGTACTAACCCTGACTAAGGGAACGGACATACAAAACAGGTACTTTGTGGAATGTGTCTGGATGTTTCAAGCCCACACCACAGCCACTGTGCCTACCAGTCGCCGGGTCCTCCGGAGATGCAAGTAGACACGCTGGCCTGTCTTGTTGAAATGTCTCTCCACATACTGTTTCCCAAAGCCCAGGAATGTGTTCATGCAGATGTAGAGGCCACCCTCAGACTCCTGCAGGGCACAACACAAATAGGGAAACACAAGAAGGATGCAGTTTAGACATATGGGGAAACCAAGGACCAAGGGTCAGAAACTGCTGGTTTCCTAACACTGTGTGGCCCTTAGCAACTTATCTAGCCTGTTGGGACATGCTATATGCTAAAGTTCTCCCAGCATCCTCTATGAATTTGAAAACAGCCAACAAGCTCATGAGGCAGCTGAACAAGACCTCCCAGCCACCAAGCCTCTTCTTGTTCATTCTTTGAGTGGGTTTCAACGCTCACCAGTCAACCACAGAAGGTCCCTTCGCCTCTTCTTTGGCTCAGGAGATCCAGAAAGTAAATGGGGCTGGCAGTGTCAGGGCTTACATTTAGAAAGAAAAAGAAGTCTTTCCTGGGAGAAAAAAAGGCCTACACTTTCAAACCCATCACCAACCAGACAGACCTCCTAGACCAGAGGAGCAGAGAACGCAGTACCAAGCAGTCCATCTAACCCCGAGCTTGACAACAGTCAGACCTTTCCTTTGTCACTTTTCTACTACAAGAAAACCCTGGCTTTAGAGGAAAATACCTTGTTTGGGACTCACAATTAAACCTGAACATAGATTAGTAAGGTCATGAAGTCCATCATTTTACAGCCACTAGCTACCCCTACCTCATCCCTTTTCCCTGTAAGACCCCCACTGAAGCCCCATCAACCTGAACCTCAAAGCTAGCCCTTTTTATTTGCCTTTGTTTATTTTTGAGCCATGATCTCCTGTGTAACCTAGGCTAGCCTGGAACTCACTATGTAGCCTGGGATGACCCAAACTTCTGCTCTGCCTCATCCTCCCAGGGCTGGCTGAGGTTACAGGTGTGTTGCCACCACAGCCAACTGAGATAGCTAGACTACATAAAACTCATGAACAGGGAAGATAAATGCCCATCCTGAATCCTGAGGAGGGACACACAGGCTCCCCAAAGCTAAGCCCATCTGCCAGTGCCTTTAGAAGAGTGACAGAGAAAGTGGGAGAGGAAACTGAAAAACAGAGTCTGGTCTCAGATCCAAGGCTTTGAGCAATAGGCACCCTTTTCCTGGAATAAAGTCTCAGTGGCCTTGAAAATTTCCCGCTGTGATAGTACAATGAAGACACTATCTAAGATAGTTAGTGGACCAATAAATTGCAGTGTATCACTCCCTAGACTAGTGCAGGCTGCAATGTTCATGAATAAAGTATTTCTCACCACAAAGGTCAGCTACACTCTCTTTCTTCCAGAAAAAGAATCAGAAGATGATCTGATGTACTTGAGTTTGTTACTAAATCAAGTAGGCTATACTGGAGATTTCTTGCCTTAGAATGAAAACAGGGAACATGTTGGAAAATTACAAAACAAACAAACAAAACCAAAACCTCACCTTTTCTGGGTCACTTAAAGTAGTTACTAAGGAGGAGACAGGGTCAACTTTTAAGTTGTTTCCAGCATAAAGACAGACAGACACACGGATGTCTGTCTTTCCCTCCTGGGAGGGAGGTGTGCACTCTCAAGTGACTTCAGATGAAAATAAAAGGTTCTGGTTTCAGCTCGGATTGAAAACCCTGATGCTCTAGGCCAGCAGTCTTCCTTTATTTCTATCAAGGCCAACTTGAGAGAAGCAGCGCATTATCTGGGGCTCAGAGCAAAGCCCGGCAAGGCAAGCAAGCAAACCACAAATCACAGTACTGGTCCTGGATTGGGCATCACATCATGCTGCTCTACTCAGCACTCGGGACGCATTAATGAAGCCTTTCCACTCTGACTTGCAGTTTTCAGGCCATGAGCTGGTCTGGCTGAAGGCTCTGGGCAGGGCCCAACAGCCGCTTGAGGGGAGGGGTGGCGAGGGGGGCGGATCCCAACCAAACTGCAGCCCTTTCGGTTTGGGCCTGGAGGCTTGTCTCCAGCTGAGGATGACATAGGAAGGCAGAACTGCAGGAAGGGAGGTACCAGGTGGAGCCTGCAAAACGTGAAGCACGGTGTGGGTGGCGGCTTTGTCTAACTAGACAAGAGTGGGAGAAAGATGGTAAAGGGGCCTTAGCATCCTCCCAAGAAAGAAACCCTCTCTTGGAATACTTGACAAGGGGTTGTCTCGGCAACCTGTGAAGGACGGAGGAAAAGGGAGGGGGGCGCGGCCATAATTCACTTCAAAGAAGAAACGACTAGGGCTTTCCACTGGGTGTTTTTCCTCCTCCTTACCAATGACCCACCTCCCCATCCCCTGTCCAAATTAGCCACGAATGGAGGATGTTTAACTCAGTTTTTCGCCAAACTGGCCTTCTTCACAGCCCTCTTCCAGACTAGAAGCTGAAGGCCATACCTTCCCAACCTCAACCCCTGCCCAGAACAGTGGGGAGTCGCCCCTAGCCCTCCCACATGAAACTACAAAACCCGGAGAGCCCTGCGCAACGTGCCAGGCCACCTCCAGGCTTTTTTTTTCTGGGCGTCGCTTGGGGGATGTAGTCCACCGATCAGGTTCCAACTCTATCTTAGAATGGTAACAAGGGACAGGGGCAACTACAATGCCCATAATGCTTCACGAGACCAGGAATGGGCAAAGCGAGAGCTGTACCTTCCGGGAGTGGTAGTCACACTACAGCTCCAGATAATGAAAAGCAAAAGCAGAGCGTCGCGGGGAAAACTACAAGTCCCAGGGTGCATCGCAAGGAGGCGGTAGCCCAAGGCTTGCAGGCCTGGCCGAATGACCAGGGCGATGGAAGGAAGTCGTGGTCGCCGCGGGCATGGGGAATGGGCTTACCGGCGTGTCGAAGGAGAAAGCGCACTCATCTTTGTGGACCCGGTCTCCCGCCTTGGGGACACGGATCGTCGGTAACACTGACAGCAGCGCCTCCTCACTCAGCTCCGCCATGACACCGGCAGCAGCTCCTCCTCACACAGCGGCTCCCACTGTCCCTAGTCCCCCCCACTCCTGCTCTCGCGTCCAATGAGCGCGACTCGCTAGGCGCATGCGCTAAAGGCAAGACACGCGAGAACGGCAGTTGGACTCAGCCTGCCGCCCGGTGCTCCGCCCTCCGCCCCACTCAGCGAACACCAATGAAAAGCTCTCCTGGCACAACTGATGGTCGAAAGGACCAATCCCGCTCTTCCAGGGCAGGCGCGCTGGTGGAGGCGCCAGGAGGGCGCGCAGTAGCGGCGCCTCTGATTCAAGGACTCGAGGAGAGTGCTTTACGTGAAGAGCACAAACTGTGGGTTGTTTAAACCCATGAATTACTGAAAGGTTGTCAGGGGCTCGTCCAATCGGAAAGCAGACGGAAGCCACTTGTCTTCTTGGTATTTGAAAAGCGGTAGCCAATGAGGCGGACTTTGAGAGATGTGATAACTTCGTCAACCAATAAGGATTGCTGTCTCGCCTTAGGCGAACCATCCTAGCTCCGTCTCCGCCCTGTTTTGTGCATACAGCGTAATAACTCCTCCTATTTTACTAAAACCGAAAAGCTGAGTAGTGCTCAAGGTCTCACGCCGATACGGAACAAAAGTCACCGGCTCCCCGAGGCACCACCCCCGAGGGCAAGCTAGTCCTCAGCCCATTGGCCAGTCCTCATGATAGACGTCCTCTAGACCAATGGCCTTCTGGTCAGGAGGGCGCGTTTCCCACAACTGGCCTATCAGAGTCTGCTTCGGCCCAGCCAATAGGGTCAAGGCAGGGGCGTGGCGGGAAGTTTGAAACTCCGGGCTTGGGGAGTTGTTGTCGGAGCTGGTGGTGTTCTCGCAGAGGTCGACCTGGGGCCCCCGTAAGTGATGCGAATAAATTAGTGGGCACAGCCGAGGCTCCCGCAGACCTGAATGCGCCGCTAGAAAGTTCCGCTCCTTATCCCCCTCCGAGGTCTCTGGGCCACAGAGCCTGAGGTTCCTCTGCTGGAAACTGGGAGGATCGGGTGGGTCCGGGGTCAGAGGTCCGACACGGTGGCGGTAAGCTCTGAGACCGGAGTCGCTTCTGACGGGCGTCTCTTCCTCTGCATCTGCACAGCCGGGCCCCGTCGCCTAGTGGAGATGGGTTCTACTCAGAGCATCTCAGGTACCCCAGCGCGGCCTCTGCCACACAACAAGCATCTGGCACGGGTAGCGGACCCTCGTTCACCCAGTGCTGGTATCCAACGCACTCCTATTCAGGTACGCCGGGCTGGGGTGGGGAATGCAGAGAAGCGGTCCTGATTCGTGGGCCTCTGGCTGGCTGGTTTCTGTGCGAGTCCTTGTCCCGCTGCCACTGGAACCTTTGTGCCCCTTTTTATTATCTATTTTTTTTTTTTTTGAGGTTCTGATATAGTATCATTTCTGTCTTCCCTTTCCTCCCTCCAAACCCTCCCATACACCCCTCCTTGCTGTCTTTCAGATTCATGGTCTCTTTTTCATTATCTGACTTTCTGGTGTTTGGTTTGGTTTGGTTTAGACAGGGTCTCACTGTGAAGCCCTGGCTAGTTTGGAACTCACCATGTAGACCAGGCTAGCCTCAAACTCCCAGAGATCGACCTGCCTTCCAAATACTGGGATAAAAGGCGTGTGCCACTACCATGCCTGGCAACTTTCCGCATTCTTAATCTGCATCTGGCAGGCTGCATATCCATGGGCATTAGCAGTTGTGACTGGGAATATGGGGAGGAAATAAAGATCAGGGCCCAGACTTGTTCTAACTTACGGTATTGACAGGTGGAGAGCTCTCCACAGCCAAGCCTACCAACAGAACAGCTGAACAGTCCGAAACAAGCGCAAGACCCAGACCCCCGCTCTCCTACTCTTGGTATTGCTCGGACGCCCATGAAGATAAGTGGTACAGGTAAGTGATGGGTCCAGGGGATGCTGATGGAGCTGACACCTATCCAGGGTGGCATCAAAACTATTTCCGTTTGACTGTTCGTTATTTGCTGGTTTTGGTAGCTCTGCCCGGGGCTCCAGCCTCCCATTTTGGACCCCTCTCACTTAGAAGGACATTTTTTCACATTTATTTTATGTGGGTGGACACACACCGGGCACAGTTCATGTGTGAAGGTCAGAGGCCAGCTTTAGGGAGTCAGTGCTCTCCTCTGCCATGGAGCTTCGATTCAGTTCAGGTCATCAGGCTTGGCAACACGCTCCTTTATCCACTAAGCTGGCCTTTTTTTCCCTTTCTTTTTCCTTCTCAGAGACAGGGTTTCTCTGTGTAATAGCCCTGACTGTCCTGGAACTCACTTTGTAGACCAGGCTGGCCTCAAAATCATAGAGCTCTCTGTGAGTTCGAGGCCAGCCTGGTCTCCAAAGTGAGTTCCAGGAAAAGCACAAAGCTACACAGAGAAACCCTGTCTCGAAAAACCAAAAAAAAAAAACAACAACAAAAAAAAAAACATGGAGCTCCAACTACCTCTGCCTCCGAGTACTGGGACCAAAGGTGTGCGCCACCACTGCCCAGCTTTTTTTTTTTTTAGGCAAGGTCTTACAATGTAGCCCTGGCTGGTCTGGAATTTGAGGCAGTACTACTTTAGCATTGTGAGTGCTAGAATTACAGGCATGTATTACCATGCCCAGCTCCCCTAGCCCAATTGGGATGAAACCCAGCCCTCCTCAGGTTTTTTTGTTTGGTTGGGTTTTTTTTTTTTGGGGGGGGGGGGTTGGTTTCTTGTGATAGGGTTTCTCTGTGTAACAGTCCTGGCTGTCCTGGAACTCCCTCTGTAGCCCAGGCTGGCCTTGAACTCACTGAGATCCTCCTGCCTCTGCCTCCCTAGTACTGGGACTAAAGGCGTGCGCCACCACCCAGGGGCTGAGCCCTCCTCCTGTGTCCACACTCTACCCCTGAGCTGCACCCCAGCTCTCCTCTCAGTCTTCTCCACAGCTTGCTTTCTCCCCATCTGAACATGAGTCCCGATGCTCCTCTCTCTTTTCCTCCTTGGTTCGTGTGAGAAGGCCACAGCTTGTTTCTCTTCTTCCCTCTAGACCCTCAGAGTCCACTGGTGAAAGAGCTGAGTGAAGTTTTTGAGACTGAAGCCTCCAAATCCATTTCCCCGCCAGAGCTTGATCTGCCCCAGCCAACACCTTTATCTTCTCAACTGGACTTGGCTTTGGATACTCAGTTATCCCTTGAGGACCAGTTGCTGCCTTGGAGCCAGACTGAACTCCCCTCCAAACAGGGGTTTACCAAGGAGGAAGCTAAACAATCCACAGAAACCATAATTGCCAGCCAGAACTTGGAGAAGGCCTCAAGAGATCCTGAGACTCCCCAGTCTTCAGGTACAAAATGAAGAGCAAGATGGAGGGAAGAGAAGCAGGGATCATGTCCTGGGCTAATGTAGGAATAATAAACTAAACCCCCATTCTGAGTCCTTTCTTTGACAAAACCTTTCTTCCCCTAGGTTCTAAGCGCACTAGACGGAAAGCAAACAGCAAGGTGCTTGGGAGATCTCCTCTCACTGTCCTGCAGGATGACAACTCCCCTGGGACTCTGACATTACGGCAGGTAAAGAAAGAGGGTGAAAATTCACCAAGACTGTCCATCATTATAGTGGGAGACCCTTTTCCCCAGCTCTTACCTCTCCTTAACAGCCCTCTGGCCACTCGGCTCACATATCGCCTTTTGCAGGGTAAGCGGCCTTCTCCTCTAAGTGAAAATGTTAAGGACCTAAAGGAAGGAGTCGTTCTTGGAACTGGAAGATTTCTGAAAACTGGAGGAGGAGGAGGAGGAGGAGCATGGGAGCAAAGCCAGGACCATGACAAGGAAAATCAGCATTTTGCTTTGATGGAGAGCTAGGTCCATGCTGGGTTCACCCAGATCCTGGTGACAGTCTGTGTTCTTCGCCCCTTCCCCAAGGGCACTGAGGAAAGTCTTGTTTTCTGGCTCCTCCCAGGCTACCACCTCTGGGACTTGGACATTTTTGGTTTTGTTTTGTGTGTTTCTTGTATAGTAAAGGAGATGATTTTAAATAATGCTTTAGGAGGTTAGACGAAGTTGCCCTGGGTCTTGTGTGTGGAGAATGGCAGCCTGGGGGTCTGTGAGCCCCAGATATATCTCTCTGCAGTCACTTCTGAGCCTCTTTTCGATGCCGTAAGTTTTGATGTTCCCCAGGGCTCTGCCTTTGGCCCCTCTCTCCTCTTCCCCTTTTGTTTGGGCTTAGCTATTACCTGCTTTTGAGAACCTTCAGGCCCCTCTGTCACCCTAACTTTTATTCAGCTGCCACATAAGCACTCAACATTAGTTCCCTTAAAATAAAATGTATGATCTTTCCCTAAAGCTTTTCCTCATTGCCTATTCCCTACCCTTGTGGATAGGAAGGACCATCACCCACCTATCTGCCTGAACATTAATCTTGGCCTCGGTCAGCATATTGAGTTCTTCTGTTTAGAATGACGTATGTGTGAGTATGGTCACTAGGTCTTGGTGATTCTACGTTCTACATTTTTAATCTCTTCTCCTCCTGTTTTGTCACTGTGTGTGTGTGTGTGTGTGTGTGTGTGTGTGTGTGTTGCTGGAGACTGACCCAGAGCTTTGCTCATGTTAGGCAAATGCTCCATTACTGAGCCTCACACTCAGCCCGGCCCTGTCATCCTTGCCTTTCTTACCGCCTGCCTCACGTCTTATCTCTAGAGGGCCAGTCTCTCTTTCCATTTCAGCACCCTAAACTGTTGGCAGAGCACTTTGCCTGACAAGCTTAGTGATCATGGTAATACCCCACTTGGAACTCTTTAGTGGCCTCCAAGGCCTTTATATCAACTCCTATGCAGGCATGCACACATGACTGTGGTCTGTAGCCAGCTGTTGTGTGCCTCCCGGCCACTCAGCCTCCTCAGGAGACCTCAGCTTCTGCCTTGATCCTTCTTCCTGCCCACAGTCTACCTAGTACTTAGCCTTCATCCTAGTACCTGTAATATCTTGTTGCCCGTTAACGGGACCTGGGTCTTCTTGTAGCACAAAGAGGGTGGAAGCTGGCATCACAGGATGCTACATTTTATTAGGTGATAATAGAGGGGAGGAAAGGGTAGAAAAGGAGAAAGTATGAAGGGGCCAGGAGACTAGTAGTGACATCCCATAATCATGAGCTGAGCACCCTGGCCGTTCCAGGTCTGGGCAAAGGCTGCTGGTAGCTCAGGAGGACTCTAGGGGCTGAGAGAAGGTCTGTTCTTGTTTATTAAGGGAAGCTGTGAGTACTATGGAAAGGGGAGGCCACGGGAGGAAGTGGGGCAGTTCTTTGCCCTTGTGTCCCTGATGCTTCACAAGGCACACTCCCATAATCCCTACTGCTCTCAAAAGGAGGTTTACTGGGAATGGCCCCTGGGATATAGAAGACTGACCCTAAAGAGATGGGGATAGGAGGAAGCAGCTGAGAATCTTCATGGCTTCCCGCCTCTCTTCCTCTAGCCTCCTTAGTTCCAGATTTTGAGGAAGCTGTCCCAGGAACCAGTGGCCACAGCCATGCCATCAGCTGTGACCCCCAGGCAGCTGACTCTGTTGTCATGGCCAGAGAGTATGCCTGAGGAAGAGAGGGAAAAGTCAGCCTACTTTCCCAGGTGTGTAAGGGCCCATGATGTACAGAAGCCCCAGCCTGGGGAGGCTAGACTCTGCCCTGATGGAGACTAAGGAACTGAAGGAGGATTAGCCCTGAGGAAAGGGATTTATTGTCAGGCCAATTCTTGGTCCAGAATTTGAGTCCCTGGTGGGGAGAGGGTGAACTGTTAGGAATGTCAGTTTGCTATGAGGAAGGCCAGGGTCACTTGGATAGGCCCGAGGAAGCCCTTTGTGGGTCCTTTGTTTCTAGGTTTTTGTTTGGTTTTTAAAGCAAGGCCCAGAAAAGTGACATGTACAGAGCCTCAAAGGTAATCAACTGGACAGGCTTTGGGGCCTGACCCGGGGTGCGTCTTATTTTCACTTGTCTCTTGGTCTCTCCTGATGGAAATCAGACTCTCTTTCCACTCTAGACTATGCCAGTCCTAGAGAAGCCCCTAGGCATGACCACGGACCCTTGGCCTACTCTCATTCACACCTCCCTGAGGCTGTCCCTTAAGTGTATGGCCCTGGAAGCTCAGGTCCCCAAAGGACTGGGCATTTAAGATACACTGGTTTGGGGTGGCCAGAAGGAGCAGGCATGGCATTGGGCAGAGGAAGGGCTGCAAAGAGCACTTTGTGTTTGGGGAATATGGTCTCAGTTTCAGAAGCAAAGGGTGCTGGTTTCCAAGGCACAAGTTAGGCAACAATTAGGAAACAGCAGTCCTCATAAAGAAACTGGGAGGGAAGGAAGGAGGGCTGGGGAGTCTGGGCCAGACCCTTACCTACACGCTCACACTTCATAGAGTCCCAGACATTGCAGTTGAAGTCATCATAGCCTGCGAAGAGCAGGCGACCACTGAGCGAGAAGGCTACTGATGTGATGCCGCAGATAATGCTCTCATGGGAATAGGCAGTCAGTTCCTGGTCTGCCCTCAGGTCAAACAGACGGCAGGAGGCATCATCTGAGCCAGTGCAGATGGCCTCTCCATTGGGAAAGAACTGAGAATACAGGTAAGAGGTGGTCAGGGTTCACCTCAGGCGGCCTTGCCTTCCTGCCTGCTTCCTGGTTTCCACAGGAGTGTGAGCTACTTCTCAGCCTCTCTGCCTGTCCGTTTCTGGGTAGGGTGAGGCAGCCAGCAGCATAGCTGTTCACCGCTGTGTTCTTGTGGCTTCCTCTGCCCTTGACTCCAGCGCTGTAGACAGGTGTCATTGCCATGTTGCAGGCAAGAGCACCGAGGGTTCCCAGGGTCACACAACTAAAAAATCAGACTTCGGCCGGGCGGTGGTGGCGCACGCCTTTAATCCCAGCACTCGGGAGGCCGAGGCAGGCGGATCTCTGTGAGTTCGAGGCCAGCCTGGTCTACAGAGCGAGATCCAGGAAAGGCGCAAAGCTACACAGAGAAACCCTGTCTCAAAAAAACCAAAAAAAAAATCAGACTTCTGTGATGATCCTAGGCACTAAATCAGGGTGTGTGAGGACAGCATGAGGTCCAAGCACATAACCTGAATGTCATCATGAAGAACAGCAGGTATACTTGGAGGGAAATTATAGAAAACTGGTGTGCCCTTATCAAGAAGATGTAATACCACAGACCCCAGAAATGTAGAAAAATGGTTCCAATCTAGAGACAAAAGACATGGCAAGGATGTGCATGTTTCTGGATTGGATTCTGGGTAGAAAAACATTGCTGATAAGGACATTTATGAGATAACTGGTTAAATTTGAGCTAAGAGCTGCAGTATTCTGTAAATGTTGAATTTCCTGGTTTTTACAAATTATACTGGGGCTGGAGAGGTGGCTCAGGAGTTAAGAGCACTGACTGCTCTTGCAGAGGACCCAGGTTCATTTCCTAACACCTACATGGTGGCTCACAACCATCTGTAACTCCAGTTCCAGAGGACCTGACACCTTACCTCCACAGGTGTCAGGCATGTATGTGGTGTACAGACATACACGCAGGCAAAACACTCATACACATAAAATTTATACTGTAGCTGGGAATGCCACTTATACCTGTAATCTTAGCACTTAGGAGGCTGAGGCTGGAGAATTGCCTTGAGTTCAAGGCTAACCTAGATTCCAGGGTGAGACTGTCAAAAAATATAATAAGCTGAGTCCCTAGAACTCCGAAGGCTGAGGGAGGAGACTGTAAGCCTGAGGAGGCCTGCCTGAGTCAGGAAGCGGGCTCTGGTAAAGCGTTGTCAAGCCAGTCTCAGAAGCTGAACGAAAGGCCTGGATATACAGCTCGCTAGGCTTAACCTGTGTTCATTCTCCAGCATGATAAAATAAAATGTGTAGGACGGGCGTGGTGGCACAGGCCTTTAATCCCAGCACTGGGGAGGCAGAGGTGGCGGTCTCTGTATGTTCAAGGCCAGCCTGGTCTGCAGAGTAAGTTCTAAGACAGCCAGGGCTACACAGAGAGACCCTGACTCAAAAAAAAAAAGTATGGAAAGTAAAGTAATAAGTTAATTTTAACATTTGGGGGTGGCTAGAGGGCTCAGTGGGTAAAAGGACTTGCTACACAGGCCTGATGCCTGATGACCTAAGGTTGATCCCCAGAACCCACAGCAGAAGGAGAGCACAGACTCCTCAAATCTGTTTTCTGACTAGTCCCACTCAAGATAATTTTTTTTAAAAATTAAAAGTTGGGCATGTCATGGTGGCACACACCTTTAATCCCAGCCCTTGGGAGGTAGAGGTTGAGATCTCTGAGTGTGAGGCCAGCCTGGTCTACATAGCAAATTCCAACCTAGCTAGAGCTATATAATGAGACCTTGTCTTAAGGAGGATTTTTTTTTTTTAAACTTGTGATTTAGGGCTGGAAAGATGGCTTAGCAACTAAGAACACTTGCTCTTGCAGAGGACCCAAGTTCCGTTGGGTCCCAGTACCCACATACATGACAGCTCATAACTGTGACCCAGCAGTTCCAGGGAGTCCAACACCCTCTTCTGCCCTCTAAGAAGTATCTAAGGGGCACAGAGCCATGATATGTGTAACATACTCTCAAAGGACCTAGGAGCAAGGCCCTAGAGTGCAGCTTGCTGGTAGGGCATTTGTCTTGCATGTGGAAAGATCTGAGTTGGGTCTCCAGCGCTACACACCAGACACAGAACAGAGGGGAGGATCCAAGTGTGAGTGAGTGTGTGCTCGTGTGTCTAGAGACAACGGTAAGCAAATGTGGCAAAATGGTCACAGTGAATCTGGGTGACGCAGACATGCCATTTCTTGTCATTGGTTTTAAAACTATCCTATAAAGGTAAAATTATTTTTAAAAATACTGAGGAAAGGGCTTAGGGGTGCTGTGGAAGTGGGTCAGAGATGTGTGTTAGGGCTTAAGGGAGTTCCTGAAGGGCACACATGAAGAAACACTCACACAGATCGCATTGATGTCTGATTCATGGCCCGTGAAAGTCTGGCGGCAGGTCCCTTCCCTCACATCCCAGAGCTTTGCGCTGGCA